ATAAACACGTACTCACTCATGAACTTCATTCTCATTCTTGGACAAGCAAAAATACATCACATGTTGTCATGTAAACATAACGAGCCACATAGTGCATTTTCCTGTTTACTCAGTGGTTGAAGAGGGCATTTTAAAGAATTATTTTAAATAAGGCCCACAACATATTTGATGTTATATGTTCGGCTTTGATATGTCACATGCTTGGAGTTAACTTCTGCTAAATTTGGACGGTTGGTGAATTTCGCGACAGCGCTTTAAAGGAAAGTTTCCTGTTTAGGATGTTTAAAAAGTTTGAAGAACAAATATTGTTTATCTAATTCCATGTCGTATGCACGTTAAACCAATTTATCCATCAATTTAGCCGATCTCCGGTCAAGCATACTTAGTTAAGACACAGCCTAGATTAATGGATAACTGATAAGAGTAGATACACGGTATTAAGAATAGAAAACTACTGAGTTGCTAAGTGCGTTGTGGATTTCTTTTAATCTTGCAGCTGCAAGAACTGGTTCTTTGCGTTCTTGTTTCCCTTTACGCTTGTCAACATGTCAGTTAATAGCTGGATTTTTGTGATGCACAAGAGTACCAACACGCAAAGTGTAGGTATTAAGAACAATTATGGGAATATCACCATATCTCAATACGCCTGTGACCGATTTGCTTAAACTGGCAGTCCATATTGTCTTTAGTTGAGCCATCTTGATATAGAGTATGGTGGCTAAACTTTTCGAGTTTACTAAAGCACTTGGTTGTAGCCGTTTTTTCGAAATACAGCTAAACTCATTCTTCAACATTCCATTAGCTGAGACCTGTTTCCCCATTATAATTCTTTGCACAGTATATCGATTTTCTATGGCAATCCGCAGCAATTTGGAAGACTCTCACGGCCTCCCACATTGTACGTGCATTCCATGTACCTAAAAAAATTGTTGCCCTTGTTGTCAGAAGGGAAATCAGCTTCGTGGCTTCAGATGTAACTCGACTTTCACCACGAGGCGTCATAACTCATTTAAATGATAAGCTTATGATTCCCAGGGTGGAGTTTAAATGGATTGAATAACTTTTTCTGTTTAGCGTTTTTTTAGAGAGTTAGTTTTCTACGGGATAGAGTCGCTAACCTCATGACTAACCTTCCCCCTTTATCCGAACTTGGGACCGGAAGTAGCCCCAGGGGTCTCCAAGAGGAGTTTGGTTCCTGTGGCTTACCTGAAATTTCTTCATTGAATAGTTTGAGTTTAACCTTATAAGATGCATACACTGACATCTCTCATTGCAAAAATATAAAACCAAGTTTTATCAACTAATATTGTTGTTATTTTTGCTACATCTTATTCTTCTTTCCTTCAGCCTTACGAATGCTATACACAATAATGGAATTTAGGGTAGATTTGCGTCTGCGAATGTTACGGTTTGTAAAATATATCATGTTTAGATAGATAATAATAAATGTGGGTCCGTGAAACAGTACCAACACAAACCCGTTTATTGACTTGTCGTTTTATCTGTATAGATATTTGGATAAAAAAATCCACTCACTTTATCTATTTAGTAACCTTAAGCAATATCTAATCTGTAGACTCATACTGCAAGTTAATATTCATGCTTGCAAAAATACCATGTACCTGCTACGCATTATTATCATTCGTGCCATTCATATTATTATGTATTTGTCTTTACCATTGTTCTTCTGTTTTATAACGTATCAACCTGAGCTACTGATCACAGGAAATCCTGCAGCACTTGTAACATTTTGATGTCTCGTAATGTGGCATGACTCCTGTATCATACTTTTATATGAAAACAAATTACTATTTAAGAAAAGCTGATAGTTCAAAAGAACACATACATGATGGGTGAATCACCGGCAAAGTAAAAAATGATTGTCGTTAAATAGCCTGATTTCCCAGGAAGTCCTAGAATCTGGTGGGAACTGATAAACCAAGCACGCAAAGCATCTAAACGTCGTCCAGTTCACCACACTTTATCAACATTTCTTCACGATCTCGTATGATTTCAAGTATGTTTAGGTTATTTAAATGCAAACTTCGAGGAAATAAGGGCATTTTCTTTAATCGATAGCACCATTATACTACGCGATCTGCTTCATATCTTATTTCAGTAACTTGATGCATCCAAATAGGAGACTTTTTCGAAAACAGCACGTTTCATTAGTGGCCGTCGTGGCACTTAAAGTTGCCACAGATATTCGGAGTTTGACAACTCTTTAGTCGAAGGATATAGATTCAGGCAGGTCAGAAATCTGGAATGAATGAGTTCGAAGATATAGTTGCGAAGTTGTCGATATGTTGAGAAGTATCTTATCTAAGCTGTCAAGTAGTCGCAAGGGATGCGAAGCATGGCGTGCACACACGTGATATGATGCCTTCAGTTAGGATGTGTTTAGTAAAACTAATGAGGCCAGCATCAATGTTGAAGACCTACAGAACTGTTTGTCATTGAGATTTATTTACCACCACATACCTTTGTTACTCAAACACAAGAACCCTGAAACTCAGTGTAGCATATCTGAGCTTGCACTCACGATATACTAGTACACCAGGTGATCGTTATGAGATGAACATACCTATGGCTTTATGGAACGTAAACGATTACAAACAAAAAAGACAGGAGCCCGAAACGGGTAGAGAAACACTCCAACATAAATTACAACGGTGTATTAGTAGAAGCTGCAACATTCACAACATAACCTTGACACGACATAACGAAACGCCAACTTAGTATAGCTCACACTGTCTAAAACAAACGACGCGAATGTAATTAAAAGTAACAGAAACTCGGACGAAACTCGAAGCTCACAAAATGCAGGACATAACGCGAAATCCATATTGCCCTACAGTGATCTCGTAAATACTGCACATCCTGCCATGAGCACGCGGATCTGGTTGGCTGCCCACGTGAACGGATGGAACGTGTAATGTAGTCCAACTCCTCATGGACTGGTTGTGTTTGATTCAAATATCGTAACTAACTTATGCTATAATTATTCCTACACCTCGGTTTTCCCACACCGTTTGCATTATTAACAAATCACATTTTTCATTAATAAATTATTTTTTGAAATAATTTACTGCTTATTGTTCTTCACGCTGCAACTAACCCGCATACTGCTTGATAACCTGATACCTGCTTGCTCCGAAAAGTTTATTGCTGTGAATTAGGCGCAAACCGTCAGATTGCAAAACATACAAATGACTAAAAATCGTGCAATGGAGTAGGTAGATTACTACACCTTGAACGATAATAAGCATAACGAGCCGTGCCAAAACTTAAAGAAGCGATAAAAAGAAACTAATCAATTCATGAAGACTAGTCACATGGAAGCTGGATATATTACATAGTTGATATTGCTGTTTGTAGTGCGCTTAATTTGAGTTGTGCGCTGCGACTTGCTCATGGTTTGTTTTCGTATATAATTAAGCTGAACTCTATAGTTCATTCTTTCGTAGTACTCTTAGGACTTTTTTGCCCATAAAGTTGAATTTAGCTCGTTTATCAAGGGCTTTACTTCTCTTTAGCATTCTGGCATCAGGGAGTTTGTGTTCATTACGTCCCAACCACTGCAAATTTAAAGGAAGGTTTTCATTGCATTACAAGGCTAAAAAGAAATTTTTGGATAAGCCACAGAAAACGATTACTCCTCCCACTGTAGATTTTACTCAGGAAATGAATTTACAAGGTTTTATTCCACTCACTTATATTCGAAATATACATTTTACTCATGTCATTAAAAATGCCTTACGTGACGTTAATTTATGTGTTCACACCGTTTGAAAACCGAAAGTTTATTTTCTGAATCATTATTCCAACGCGTCGCACATTTTGCTTCTGAAATCTTTGAGTATAAATATCTTGAAATAAATCCAAAGAAGTATAGAAAACTTGCTCGAAAGCCTTTAATCTTAATTGATTTCTAATGGATGGGTTTCTGATAGAAGTAATTTTTCTTAGAATCATGAAATTCCATTAAACCTTGAGAACTCTTAGAACATTGTCATCACATGTACTTTATTTTCATAAGTTTTTAAGACTATAAATCCTCAATTTCTACTACCATCAATATTTTGAAATTGTTTAACATCGGAATCACAGGTTAATTTGCCGTCAAGGTTTTTTAGATGGGGATAGTGAACCAAGTTTGGTTTCGAAGTTCCTGGAGGCTTTATTGTATTCTGAAACTTTCAAGCCATCCTGGGATCATTCAAACCGTAATTGGATGTAAATAATTATAAGGTAGACAATTTCATGGTTGACAGAATCGCGCTTAACAATGTGGCATAAATGTTTCATGGTTTACAGGGATTATATTTTCTGAAAGCCCCTCAAAATTGCTCTCTAACAAAATTATAAAGATGTAATATCTAAATGGTGATAGTTGCATGGTATCTTTAATCTTTGCGTCCAAACTGTCAGTGAGTTATTTCATTGCTCTGGCATTCTGGGAGCTGTTTAGATTCAACATCACAATCATTTTCTTTCTATATTCTAGTGTCATCATTCTAGGTTTTAGGTTTGCTGCCGATGTACAGGTAGATAAATATGTGTCTACAGCATTTTAACTATCTCACGTTCAAATCATATCGTGTTCACTGTTCAACCACAATTTTACTGTAAGAATGGTTTTGAATTCAACCAAATGTTACTACATTAATTTGCTGAAAATTCAGGAACACGAATAATTTCACATAAAAATTATTTAAAAAACTGGTGTTTGAAGAGTAGTATCTCTTTTAATTCTTCATTTGTGAGCAAAGCCAGAATATAAATTTTTAAATGCTTAAAGAGGTAATCAATCAGTACAGAGTTCTTCGTACGGACGTCTATGGTATTCACAATTGCTGCTTATGAAATTGTCAAGTTTACTTAACCCGACATTAACTCTTGTTTTTTTTATCTTTTAGGTAGTTGTCATTTTCCGCCGAGCTCCGTCTACTTGAATTGGCCTTTCTCACATAGTAAGTAATTTTACTAGTAAACAAGAAATGGATGGAATCGTCACGTATGAATCCTCTTCCTCTGATGATGAAATTCCCAAACAAGATACTGCTCCAACACAACTTTTAAAAAGTAGTTTGATTAAATCCATCGATGTTGCGCCAGTTGTGGAGCACAAGGTAATGTGTATGAATGGTAATGTGATTGGTTTTATTTTTAGGACGAGTTTCTATCTCTTGTGCCTGTTGATCCACAATCTCATGAACTTATTCATAATCCTACCTATGAAGAATTATTCGCACCATCTGTAAGTGTTCTTTTTCGATGTAACTTACCTTTATCAGTTCGGTCCAGTCAATCCGTTTAAATCTGAAAAACAATTGGCTCCTAAAAATACTTTAACTGGATATGTTGAAGAGGCTCACGTTAATAAGTTTGCTTTTGAAAACCAGCATAGAACTTTTATGACTTATGGTGAGTTTATGGTAATTTAATTTCTAATTATTTATAATAGGTTACGCAGAAGATCCTTCTGTTGAAGGAGGTGCTGATCGACGTTTAGTTGGAGAGACAGAAAGCATGACAGAAAATGAAGGTGAGGTTGGTTTGAATATTTGTACATATCCTTTCTTCAAATATTCATTGACTTATCCTACAAACACCAGTATTAAATGTCTTTGAAGTCCTGACCTGTTAGACTGTGACGTTTTCAGGTTCACACTGCCTGATTAAGGTCTTTGGAATCGTTGTGAATAATGGTTAGAGACGTTGGGTTGCATGACTCACAATTAATCAATGGTGCAAATGCACTCACTCGTTTCCTTTCCGTGGGTCCTGGGTTTTAGTTCCGTAATAAACTTTTTGTCCCACAAATTCACTCGCTATTGGGTTGTATTTCGTATACATTTCTTATTATCACTGCTATTATTACTACTTATTATAACTACATCTTAAAAATTCACCTCGTACTGATGACAATTTGAACTGATACACGTTTCAGGTTCTATATTGCTTGTAGCTAATAGACTGATAAAGTCCTCTTACACACAAATTCACTAAATACGATATAATGCCGAGTACACGTACTTGTTCTAAGTGCTTTTTATTTGTCTTTTCCAAACCTAAGTATAGTTTAAACTTAAGAGTTGTCTTGCGTTGAACGTTTTTATTGTTTTCACCAAAAAATGTTTCTTCTTGTCACATCTTTCTTTCTAGGAAAAACTGCATTCGAAAAGCGTCAGAAACGAAAAGGTGATCTACGTAAACGTGATAGTAATTGGGATCCAACGAGTGAAGATTATACTGGACCATGGGCTAAATATAAAGATGAAGTAACTGTTTCGGTTCCTTCTGAAGAGGATCGTGTTTATTTGGAAGCTTATTTAGCAAAGAAAGCTAGCAAAAGAAAAGTTGTCGAAGAAGCTCCAATTGAAGAAAAATCTACACTGCATATACCAACACCATATGATTATCAGGTTAGCTAACTTTTTGTCCAATAGATTTGTGAAGTATAGTGGCACAGTATTGAAAGTGTTTAGCTCTCAGCAAATAAGTTGCGAGTTTAAACCCAGTTACACCTACTTCGGAAATGAAAAGATAATATGTTTTGTTACAAATTGACCATATTAGGAGAGAATTAAGTATAAAGGCAGAATGAGCAATTGTTTTATAGTTTGTGATTCCTCAGACGTACTCACCCACTGCCTAATTCGTCACAGGTTAAACTGATACATTTCCTACGTAGTGTTTGAATTATTGGTAACTGTTATGCACTATATAAAATAATAATGTGATTTGAGGCACTGAGCACAATGTTCATGTTTGTACCTTGTTCTCAGTCAGTCATCCGACCGTTGTTGCTACCTTGACGTGGTGGTCGGGCTTGCCTATCGTGATGAAGCAACCGAGCTATACTGACTGGAACAACTGTTCCTCAAGGTCCTACCACGTCAGAAAGGTCGGTTGAAGAGCGGTAAGACTAAATGCAACAAACCCAAGGTCCGAAGGCGAAGTCGTACTGCTGACTATACAGAGGTATGACAGCAGTAAGGTGTTTCCTTCAGACAACCAGCAGGACAGCGATGCTGCTTTCCCACAAGGAGGGGTGGGGTTAGAAAAGGTCGACCCTAAAAATGCACACCTCGCCTTATCCCACGGATATCCGTCTCTGGCGGTAAGGTCTCAACAAGTACGGAGCTAACACAAAAATTACCGATAAAAAGGTCGTGTATGACCGACCTCAATCAGTTGTCCCTTGGGCACTGTGGTCACGCTCCCAGGTCACTAAGACCACTTCTAATCCAATTTTCTTCTCAGGTACCTCCAGAAGAACCCTCCCACGGTGTGGGCAACCGGGAAGTGATAACCGCCCTCATACCTCTAACAGCACTCAAGACCACTGTGTTCATAATCAACCTCCCTCTTCAATTCCTATTATCCCTCCTACATTGGCTTCAAACTCTAAACTTCTTATTTCGGCTTCCCCTCAAGTGTCACCATAGCCAACGATTCTAGTGCTCAAAACACTGTCCCAGGTCTACTGAAACCTCGCTCCACACTACACATTGGAGCCTTCAACGTACGCACCCTATGTCAAATCGGTCAACAGGCTTCCTTGGCTAAAACCCTAGAATCTCGTACCATTGATGTATGCTGTGCCTCCGAAACACGCATACAGGATCCCAGTGTGGTCATTCACTTGACCTCACCTCGGCAAAACGGAGAGCCAACGAGATACAACCTCCGTGTATCTGGTAGCTCGACGGCCAGCTCTCGTGGACTGGCAGGAGTAGGGATAGCACTAAGCATGAGGGCGGAACAAGCACTGTTAGAGTGGATCCCCGTCAACAGTCGTCTATGTGCTGTTCGGCTAAACGGCTCCGTAAGAACTCGGAAGGATAGGGACACACGTCGTTGCCTTTTTGTCGTTTCTACCTACGCTCCCACCGACTGCAGCTCAGATGATGTGAAAGATGAATTTTACAGAAAGCTATCTGAACTTCTTCAGAAAGCTAAACGCTCAGACACAGTACTCGTAGCAGGTGACTTTAATGCCCAGATAGGTAGTTTAAACCAAACAGAAAGGAATTTAGGTGGGTATTTTAGTATACCGGCACAGCGGACAGATAATGGTGATCGTCTGCTGCAACTGTGCTCAGACAATCGCTTATTTTTAGCAAACACTAATTTTAAGCATAAGGAGAGATATCGTCTAACATGGCGAACCCCTACACCAAACCAACGATGGACTCAAATAGACCATATTGCCATCAGTCATCGTTGGAGAGGGTCGGTAGAAGATTGTCGCTCATTCTGGAGTACCTGCTTGGGCTCTGACCATGCCCTAATACGGGCACGCATCTGCTTGCGCCTCACTGGACGCAAAAATGCCACATTAAAAAGACCCATTAGAACTGAGTTGAGTAACGAGAAAACCAAAAGTAGGTTCCGGGAACAACTGAGGTCACACTCAGGTAGTTCTGAAAACGAGGTTGACCCAGTTGTTGCTTGGAAAGATATACAAACAGCTGTGGAAACAGCAATGAAATCTATTAGTGACTTAAACCACAGAGTTACAAAGAACCAGTGGATTTCTTCAAAGTCTATCACACTGATGGATTCTCGCAAACTCGTACCATCAGGTTCTGAACATGATGAAGAGCGACAACAAATCAGATCTAGGTTAAGAAAAAGACTAAAAAACGACCGTGAGCAGTGGTGGGCAACGAAAGTAAGAGAGATGGAAAAGGCGGCGACTATAGGGAACACAAGACAGCTTTACAGACTAATAAAAGAAACTGGAATTAATAAGTCAAGTGTGAGATCATTTCGTAAAAAGACGATATTCTCATCTGCTCCCAGTCCAGACGTTTAGAACGATGGGCGGAACATTTTAGGGAACAGTTCAGCTGGCCTCCAGCGACTCTACAACCACCCTCCATTCCCAGACAGCGTGAATGGAACATTGAAGTAGGTCCCCCAACTCTAGCAGAAGTTCAAAAGGCTATAGTTAATCTGAAACGAGGAAGGGCAGCTGGTCCAGATGGACTGGCTCCAGAGGTCTTTAAGGATGGTGGTCCAATTTTAGCGATTAGGTTGACTAGTATTTTAGCTAAGATCTGGGAGTTAGACGTTATCCCATCCAACTGGTCACAATCACTTATCGTCCCAATATATAAGAAAGGGTCAAAATCATCCTGTGACAACCACAGAGGGATTAGTTTAACTAATATAATATCTAAAATACTAGCCTCGATAATTATCAGACGCCTAACTAAGACTCGTGAACTGCAAACACGAGAGAACCAAGCTGGCTTTAGACCTGGTCGTGGCTGCATCGACCACATATTCACCATTCGTCAGATTCTAGAACACAGGCATACTTATCGGCGTCCGACAATGGTGGTCTTTCTCGACTTAAAAGCAGCATTTGACTCTGTAGACCGCGAGATTCTGTGGCAATGTCTGTCATTGAAAGGCGTACCTCAGAAGTACATAAACCTTGTGAAGGCTCTTTACTCGAACACTACTAGTCGAGTCAGAGCTTATGGCGAACTGTCATCTACTTTTGCAACCTCAAGTGGTGTCCGTCAAGGCTGTCCACTTTCTCCATTTTTGTTTAACTTCATCATAGACCTATTGATGGAAATAACATTCTCGTCTACTGAATTCTCGGGTATTGATCTCCTTCCAGGAGGTCCACTTATCGACTTAGAATTCGCAGATGATATAGTCCTGTTTGGTGAGGATGCTGATAAAGTGCAGAGTCTTTTGGTAGCACTGAGCAACAATGCCAGAATGTTTGGAATACGCTTCTCTCCCTCTAAATGGAAGTTGTTGCTTCAGGACTGGTCTGCGTCAACACCTGAATTAAGGATAGGGAGTGAAGTAGTCGAACGCATTGACAACTTCACTTATCTTGGAAGTCTGATCAGCCCTAATGGGTTGGTGTCTGACGAAATCTCAGCACGGATTCGAAAAGCTCGCTTGACTTTTGCCAACTTACGTCACCTATGGCGAAGGCGAGATATCCGTCTATCAATAAAAGGACGAGTATACTGTGCGGCAGTCCGTTCTGTTTTACTTTACGGCAGCGAAACATGGCCTTTAAGAGTAGAAGACAACCGCAAGTTACTAGTATTTGACCACAGATGCCTTAGAAATATTGCTGGCGCCTATTGGGATCACCGGGTAAGTAATAGTGAGGTTAGACGCATTTATTAGGTAATGATGGTAAATCAGTTGATGGGGTTGTTAATCTTCATCGACTGAGATGGTTAGGCCACGTGTTATGTATGCCTGAACACCGATTACCACGACGTGCAATGCTAACCGGTGTTCTGGATGGTTGGAAGAGAATTAGGGGCGGCCAAACCAAAACGTGGCATCAGTGCTTGAAGACACTAACCTCTAGTCTGAACCATGTTGGTAGATGCAGACTACTTGGTTGGGATCCGCGTGACTGTCGTAACCAATGGTTGGAGACTCTTGGTGACATGGCTCAGAATCGATCACAATGGTGTCGGTGTATACACTCTCTGTCTTCCCTTAAACTAAGAGATTAAAATCACTTCATATTTTTCTTTTTACTAACTAATTCTTTCTTCCTGTACTGTATCCTCATATACAATCTTTCTTTTATATATTACCGCCTTTGACCTAACCACTCCTATGAATCCGGTGTTCATCTTGCTGTGCGAATGCGGTATGGCAACCTGGACCGATGCATATGTGCCTGGTCCTACATTGTAGCTGATTGACTGACAATCCACAATCTAGGACCAGACACGTATATGCATCGGTCCAAGTTGCCACACCTCATTAGCACAAAAAGATGAACACCACACTCATAGAAGCAGTTAATTCAATGGTAGTAATATATAAAATATTTCATATATATGTATATATATATAATGTATTTCAGGTCAAGCAGTACTTGTGTTTTCAACATCCTTACCACTATTGATCCTTTAGTCGGCAAAAAAGTACATTACGAAAGTGCTAGAAAGCTGCTCAATGAAGTCATTGGCTTTAAGACTAATCCGTGTCATCGGCAAGTTTGTTGACTTCCTAGTTAAAATCTTCATGATGACTTATCGGTTTTTCGATCTTAGGTGGTAAAATGACTGCAGAAATCAATTGCACTGTCACAAATATGCATTTTTTAACTTATATTCCTTTGAATCTTCAGTTCTAATGTTAATTTATTAAGTCCTATCATAATCATCAGTCTTATGTTTTCGATAAATTTTGTTTCAATTTTAATATAATATCCCCGCTTGTAAAGACATAACCTATAAAGACAATATGGAGTAAATGCACTCAAAGTTACATTCTGTAATTTGTAATGTGAATTTCATTAGTTTTCTATATATTGTATTATCTTTATCCCAACTGATGTTAATGTTGATAGGGTAGAAGTTTCTTGCATGCACCACATGATATACCGAATGTGAATTTACGAGCAACTGATCCACCAGAAAGATGCTTTTTACCTAAAAGACAAATTCATGAATGGATTAGTGCACACGCACGTGGTGTTGCAGCAATTCGCCTGTTCCCTCATACTGGTCATTTAATGTTATCTGCTGGAATGGATTCAAAGATTAAGGTGGATAATTTATTTTCGAGATGTTTTTTTTAAACCAGTTTTAATGGTAAATTTTTATCTTGAACTACTATCTTTCACGATGTTTAGGTCTCTCAGTAAGTAAGATACCTTCGGCATCCTTTGATATCTACATTTCAAACTCAGTTAATTTATGATAGAACCAGATCCTATCACAATTGTTCGTGGATAATCATTTTATCAATATGGGGCAGTGACTCAGAGGTTAGACTACTCGATATTCAACCTCTAAGTCTCAGGTTTGAACCCTGTTCTACCTGCTTCGATTTGATCAACTAGGAAGTATCATTAGTCTTTGCACTTAGAGCAAAGCTTAGGATTATGTACACATAAGTCTGTGTGCATGGTAAGTGAATATTTATTCATTACCGATTTGGCTGGCTCCACGCTAGTACTATAAAAGAATTTGATTCTAAACAAGCAATTAGTTTAAACAAATTGACATTATTTACTAGCAGGATGATGTGTAATAAAAAGCCAACAACACTGTTCTTGATGAATAAATTCGCTTTAATGAAGGAATTTCGTAGAAATCTGTTTAGTTTACGTAGAACATACTCTACTGATTGGTCAATAAGATGTTGGCTCTTGTAGCTCTACGTAAAGTCAAAACACCATAAAAGATATTTTGTCATAGTTAAACCTGACGTTTACAAATTATAAACATGGAAAGACGAAAGAATAGAACCAAACCTAAATGACTATTAAGATGATGAGTTTGGAACAAATGACAGAAATGTAACATCGCGGAACACGATTTATAAAATTTTCATGAGAACTAATGTGTACCTGGGATTTGCAATCGAAAGACTATCTGGATATGTGTTCATTAATATTACTGAAAAGCATTCTCCTACTCTAGCTCTAACTCTAATCTTCACCATCATTGTATTTTTTTTAACAAATTATTCGTTTATGTCACCTAGATCCTGATTAGCTAATCATTTGCTTTGTCTTCTCAGGGTTATCTCGCAAATCACTGGAGGATATTGATAAGTTTACTTCCAATGTAGGTAGTGCTCTTAACAGATTGATCTCCGTGCACCATTGAGAGCCAAAAAGAACTGGATAGTTGTTTTAGGTCCTAGTGTGGAACTCCTTAACTATTCCCACATCTATGATTTCACCTGAGGTCGGATCCAAAACCCATCTATCTCACTGTAAATTCAATATTCAGACGACTCGTTGAGTTGGAATCCAGTGATACCATAGACAATATGGATGATCGGATAATTAGCATACTGTATCTTGAATAAATTTAAGCTGTAAATGATAACCATTAAGTTGAAACTTAATGGTCTAAATACTAAACACGGTCACTGTGACATCTGAGTGTCGTTTGAGTTCAATTTCATGTGACACATTTTATTTATTTATTTATTTTAACACATAGACATTGGTACAAGGAGGCACCAAATACATATGCGCCACACAAATCTCATTCGATATGTGTGAGGGCTGTGATACTCCCCGGGTGCCCAAACCGAAGCAGGTGGTTTTCTTAGGGGGTCACTCCCCGAGCCTTCGACCTGAAGGTCTGATCCACAAGGCAGTGGAGCATCGTAAGAAGATGCAGTCCCATGGAAGCCGGTGACCAACAATTGGTTCATTCGCCATTTCTTCCCGCAGGATACTGGAGCCCATGTGCACCATTGGTTTGGAATCCGGTTAGAGCGCCGGACATTCGCTTTTCGTCCTCTCATTTTCGTAAACAACAGCCCCGCCACGAGAAGGCAGTGGGTAGGACTTCCCTGGCAAAGGCTATATACGCGTGGCCATGTGAGAGCATTTCGAGAGGGAGAGCGGACCCTCCCCACTCTCGGCCGTACCAGGGCATTTGGGGGCGAAGTATTTTTTCATTTGTATTCTGTTCCATATGTTAATACAAAGCGAATGGTTGAACCAAGACCCTGAATCAGTTCATGAAATCATTGACAATCGATCTGAGCCATTTTAATAGGTACAAACTACCTGGTTGGGGTTTACCTGATTACTGTAACCAATAGTCCAAGATTTTGGGTTATACAACCTAGAATTATTCTCAATGATGCAGGTGTATTTTAAAACCTGAGTCCCGAAGGCTCCTTATATCTTGTTTTCTTTTTCTATGTCTAATCTTTCCTATCACCACTGATTCTATTACCACTTCTACTACATTGACTTTATTTTCCTTTTATTTATATCATTCAACATTATTCATCTTGATAGCTTTGGGAATTATATAAAGAACGTCGATTAATTCGTAGTTATATGGGTCATCGTCAAGCTGTTCGTGATGTATCATTTAATAGTAATGGAACAGCATTTTTAAGTGCATCTTATGATCGTTATGTAAAATTATGGGATACAGAAATTGGTAAATGTACAAATCAATTCAATTTAAAACGTGTTGCTTATTGTGTACAATTTAATCCAGATGAAGATAAACAACATTTATTTTTAGTTGGTTGTGCTGATAAAAAAATATTATGTGTAAGTGGTATATCTGTTTTAATATACGTTAAACTTATTTATTATTTATTTATTTAAACACACAAACATTGGTACAAGGAGGCACCAAATAGATAGGTGCCACATAAATTATTCGATTTGTGTGAGGTTTGGGATACTGTCCGGGTGCCCAAACCGAAACAGATGGTTCTCTTAGAGGTCACACTCGGAGCCTTTGACCTAAAGATCTGATCCACAAGGTAGTGGAGCAACGTCAGGATGTGCAATTCTATGGTAGTCGGTGACCAACGATCAGTTCATACGCCATTTGTTCCATCAGGATCCTGGAGTCCATGTACACCATTGGTTTGGAATGAGGGTTTTCCAACTTCTCTAGGTGGATTCTCCATGTCTACCAACCCAGTTAAAGCCTTGGACATCCGCTTTTCATCCTCTCAATTTTGTAAACAACACCCCGTAGTGCGAGAAGCCAGTGAGTAGGACTTCCGTGGCAGTTGTTGAATACAAATGGCCATGTGAGAGCATTTTGAGGGGAAGAGCTGACTCTCCCCACTCACGGTCATACCAGGGCATTTAGGGGCCCTTTTGTTGTATGACTTTTCAGAAATCATTCTCCGACAGGAAGATTCATTTATTGAATAAACAAATGACATTGTTATGTCTGATGAAGACGAAACGCAGTTGCTCGACTGCCTTGAATTACGATAAAAGCCTGTTTATAAAGAGCTACACTCTCTCTGAATGCTAAATGTTGCTTCAGAACTGGTTTACATTATTACTTAAACTAATGATAGGGGGTAATGTAGTTCAGTACCTAGAACATTTCGCTTATCTTGAAAGTCTCATCACTTGTGTTGGATTGGGTTTTGACGAAATTTAGGAATGGATTCAGAAAGTTCGTTTGGTTTATACCGAATCTTGTCTCCAATGTCGTAGGTGAGATGTTCATCCACCAACCAAAGGACTAGTATACTGCTCAGATGTTCACTCCGGTTTACTTTAACGGTGTGAAACATATCCTTTAAAAGTAGATGGCATACGTACTTTACCGGTGTTTAACTTTGTGTGTCTTCAATATAGTGCTCGCAAATATTGATCACTCAAGGAACAGTGGCTAGATTAAATGCAGGCTACTAGGCTAACATGGTGAATTAATTGATCATATGAATCTTCATCGACTGAGGTGGTTGAATCGTGTATTAGGTATATCTAATGTAGGGACGATTTCCGGTGAACTCAAAGAAGCTCTGAAAGAGCTGAAGAGGTCCCATCCAATCACCTTTTGAAAGAGCATTCCAGAATCTCAACATACAGCTTCCCGATTGGACAAGTGCTAAAAACCAGTGTATACGGATTGGATAACTGTAATGATGACTTCGTTTTTACTAAAAACTGAGTGTTTTGTAACATATTTGACACTGTTGGAATAAATTCATTCCTTCTCGTCTTCTGTCTTCCAACTTGCGACTTGAAATGTTCAAACGTTCGAGTGCTAAAGTTGTACGCGTTATAGCAAGAAATACAAGTTATAGATAAGAAAATCAACTATTGTCCACCTTAATGCTGCACAATGATGTCCAGTTCACGATGAGATTGTATGAATGATAGAGTTCGCCCAAACCAAAACATAGCACCAATCCACGAAGGTCATAAACTGTTGCATTGAGCTATTTTGGCAGGTTCAGACTATGTGGTTGGAATTCACATGATTATCGTAACCAATTGTTGAAGATGTCATGCGTCATGACTCAAAATCAATTATATTAGCTCAAAGACATTCACTCTTTACCTTATCTCAAATCTTTAGTTTTAAGGATTTATCTTCGGTGTTCTTCGAATTATATTGTCTATGCTCAATCGGCGAGACTATAACTCATGGACGAACCAGTCAGATTTAGGATTACGGATCTTGGATTTTGTTGCGAAATCCACTCACCTATTTGTCTAAATAGCTGATGTCAATTCGTGATGAAACCTCTAAATCTAATTCCTAACCTTAATCATCAACTGAAAATCATAATCTTAATTCCTCACACTGGTCTATAACCCTGATTCAACCCTAGTAAGTGGGTGAATATTCTCAAGGTAACTTGAGCGTCACTCAAAGGTCGTCCGTAAGCTATAACCTCACCACATAATCTTTCCCATTACCATTATGTTCATATTATATGGTGTGGCAACTAGAACCTATGCGGATGTGCATCAGGTTTTACATAGCTTATGAAAGACTTTGTGTTAGCAAGTATCGTACACTGAAAGAGAAGTATTTGTTTATACATCAGCAATCATTTTATCCAATAAGGGTTGTATGCTGTTTTCATAGTAATTGCATTTTATTAACAAGGCTTTTCGTTTACTGTTATTTTTTACCTCTTCTTGTTATCTTTTCCATGCACATATATACATATACACAAATAAACAAACAACCCCCCCCCACAAACAACAGTATGATACGCGTAGTGGTGAAGTTGTCCAACAGTATGATCGTCATTTAGGCGCTGTCAATGCTGTTGCATTTGTGGATAATAATAGAAGATTCGTTTCAACATCCGATGATAAATCGTTACGTGTATGGGAATGGGATATTCCAGTGGATTTTAAATATCTTGCTGATCCGTCTTTACATTCAATGCCAGCGGTTAGTGTTTCACCGAATGGTATGTATATATATTTTTATATTTATCCTGCTTACTTATGATGTATGTTTATTGTTAATTTCATTGGAACGTCGGTGAGATTGTAATTTATGGATGACCTTTGAGTGGCAATAAAATGGCCTTGAGAGTGTCCACCTAATAACTAGGACCAAATGAGGGTTGTAAAGCAATGTGAGGAATTAGATTTAGGGTTTTCTTCACGAACTGACATCAGTTATAATGCCAAAACTATTTAACCAAATGGATGAGTGAATATCACGCCAAATTCCGAAGCCTTTTATCTTATACGTGATTGGTTCGTCCATAAATTATATTCTCATCGAAACGTCTAAACTACACAATTGAGATATGCGTGGAATCGATGTTCTAAACAATGATATTTCTAGAGGATGTTCTTATTAATACATAATATATGTAAACTAGTCACAAACCTCAACTTATACGGTATTTGTAGCAAATAACTTGTCTTTATGTTTGAAAAGACAAAGACTTCACTAGCGTAAATGACAACCGGTAGGTAGTTGTATCTAAAGTCAACTATGACTATTAACAGTCAAAATAGGAACTAAAAGTGCACAAATATGAAAGCTGCCGTGTTCAAACAAAGATTCAAGAAATGTACAAAACTGAAAATAACTGTTTCATAGGTTAAGGGAAATTAATAATTCTTATTGGTTGATCTAAATATTAAAGATTATTACACAATAAACAAACGTACATTACATCATATGTTCAAAACTGTAATCGGTCACTGAATATTAATAAGTAGTATAAAATTACACAAAAAGTGAGTTGAATGAAAGAAGAATAAAGATAATGCAAACGAAATTAATGGGGATAACTATGAAATGAGGAGTAATTTGCTTTCCGTATTACTGTGCTCATATACATGTGTTTAATGTTGTTTGGAGTAGTAATAAGTTGTGAGAAAACTGTAGTCGGCTAAGGCAAGATATAACATCAGTTTGTGAAGTCATTAATTATCAGTTTGCGATTGTGAAGACTGTTGAATCTTTTTGATATCATTAATCTATCTAAGCTAGACAATTATTGTAAACTGGAGACCACTAGACAGACGTATGCTCACTGGTGATTAGCTTCGAGAGGAAATTCCTCAAGTTCTGGTTAGAAGTTGTGACCAGTGGAGTTCTATTACATCGCGTGTGAGGAAGGTATCCATTGAAGACAATGGAGCATGGTTGCGCAATATCATGGGTTGATTGAAGTTAGAATTTCACAATGTTTGGTCTCAGATTAATTGTATACACCACACAGACACTACGTGGTTGAGATCTGTGAAATAAGCATAGTCGGTAATTTGCAGGTGTTGGGTGATATGAATCAAAATCGGATACAGTTGCAGAGATGCATTCACATTTTGTCTCTCCTTAAGTTCCCTATTTCTTACTTTACATTATTTAAACTCACCTATAGTGTTCAGTCTTTCTGACTATTTTTGATAGTATCATCATTTGGACTCCTCTGCTAATCAGTGTTAGTCTCATCTTTTGTCTGGTGTGGTATGGTAACTTAGCTGACTCAGATATATGCCAGGCTTCATGGTGGTGAATTAGTGGTTGACTGTTTTCAATGGGAACCTACACATGCTGTTAATTTGAAATCAGGGTTTTCAAACCCACTTGAATGGTTCGTTTGTATTTCTTAACCTAATTTAAGTCCTAGACATCTGCTTTCATTCACAGGTACTATAGACTTACGGCTGTATGACAGAGGACTTTTTCGACTTTCTCCCATTCCAAAGTATTTCTTTTCATTAATCCTGATGTACTCAAAGAGGAAGATTTATTTATCTTGTCAAAGAAGTTTGATTAAGTAAACAGTATTTGAAGGTATCTTACTGAGAATTTATTTATCTATTTTGACACATAGATATTGGTACAAGGAGGCACCAAATACATATGGGCCACACAAATTTCATTTTATGTGTGAGGGCTGATGTACTACCCGGGTGCCCACACCGAAGCAGGTGGTTTTCTTAGGAGGCCACACCCAGAGCCTTCAACCTAAAGGTCTGATCCACAAGGCAGTGGAGCATCGTAAGGAGATGCAGTTTCATGGTGGCCGGTGGCCAACAGTTACTTCATACGCCATTTGTTCCTTCAGGATCCTGGAGTCTATGTGCACCATTGGTTTGTAATGAGGGTTTCCCAACTTCTCTAGGTGGACTCTCCATGTCCACCAACCCGGTTAAGGCGTCGGACATTCGCTTTTCGTCCTCTCAGTTTCATGAAGAAAACCCGTGGTGTAAGAAAACAGTGAGTACTGTTAAGTCTTGCTGATTGGGCTCTATATTCGTTCCTAAGCTATTCTGATAACCCGCACGCTAGAACTATGCAGCGACCTGAACACCAGAAAGAGGACGCAAAGTATGGGAGAAACACTTTACTCCAAGGTTCGTTTTTGTACAGAAAACATGCGTATTTATAGATGTTAACGTTTGTTAAATCAACATCATATTTCGGCCAATCCGTTAACGACATATTATGCTACTGACCAATAGTAGTACGCCACGTTGGAATTGTAGAATGCCTCATCATGCTCTGATTGGCTTGGACTCTTCGTCTCCTTTTGGGCCTCTGGAGGCTCCGTTGAAGTTCTCCAAAAGCCGGCTCAACACCTCCCCCGGATAAGATTTCTTTCTAGGACCTACTTGTAGCTTGAGAACTGGGTTGCGGTGGCGTCTCATTATTCTTGTCGTCTGCCTTGTCCGAGGCTTCTTTTCGGTGTGCTTGGGTATGTGTAGCATTGGTGTATCTAAGCTTAACTCTAACGGAAAATTTGGCCGGTTATTTCGAGACTGCATCGTTCTTTTGTCCTTATAGATTTGATTTATGCGTCGAATACATGTTTCAAAGGTTCCTCGGACTCTGTACAGAACTTTTCCCAATTTTTGTACAACTTCTCCTGGCTCTCATCGGTTCTTCCCGATATATGATTCAATGACAACTTTGTCGCCAACATTAAAGTTCCGGATATTTGGATTGTGATTGCGCTCATACACTAATTTGGATGGCAACATGGCATTGAAGACAGTTCGAATACGCCTTCCGAACATGGCTTCAACAGGAGACTTGCCATCTGCAGCATTCGGGTTCGGGATGGATCTGTAGTATGTTAAAAATTTTGTGATTACCTGTCCAGTCGTCCCTTCGTCCCCCCTTGCAGTAATGCTGGTTTAAAGGTGTCCACAAAGCGTTCTGCTTGTCCGTTTGATTGCGGATGATAGGGTGGAGAACGAAAATGAGTTATTCCATTTGCTCTACAGAAATGCTTAAACGATTCTGCAACGAATTGCGAGCCGTTATCCGTTACTTAAGGTCTCTGGTACTCCGAACCCGAATGTTCCAGATGGCAAGTCTCCTGCTGAAGCCATGTTCAGGAGGCGTATTCGAACTGTTTTCAACACCATGTTGCTATCCATCGGTTGCATTCGGGGATGGACGTAGGATTAATGTTAACGAGAAAAATATCCATTTAAAAGTGTAACCATCAATGTTAGAAGAGGGTGATCCATCCATCCACATCCAACTAACTAACTATTTATTTACAAATATTACGTAATACACATAAGTTTCATTACTTTAGCCGTTCAATCTGTTGTCATTCCTGTTTTAGTTTTCAAATCATAATTCTTTCCTTTATTGTTTTCACAGGGAAATATTTAATTTGTCAATCTCTTGATAATCAATTAGTTGTATTTAATATATTTGCTGGTTTTAAACGTATGCGTAAAAAAATCTTCCGTGGTCATATGGTGTCAGGTTATGCATGTACTGTAGATATGTCACCAGATATGCGTTATGTAATCTCTGGTGATGGTGATGGTTATTTATGTTTATGGGAATGGAAAACAACTAGATTATTAACAAAATGGAAAGCACATGATGGTGTATGCATTAATTGTGCATGGTTACCACATGAAACATCGAAAGTAATCACTGCCGGTTGGGATGGGAATATACGTCTTTGGGATTAATTTCCTTTGCATATACAAGAAAAAAGAAACAGTATAGTATTTCATACTATCATTTTGTATTTTTCTACAGAATTAATATAAGATTATATTACCATTCCAATGTGTACATATTTCTTTTCCCTTGATATATCTGTAATAAATGTCTTTAACTCAAATGACTTCATTTTTTGTTTGAGAGTTCTTTTTCAACAAAACAATGTGATTACTTGATTGTGACCGATGATATACTTGTTTAATCCTTAGTTCTAATCAAACCTTAATCATGGTGATCACTAGTAGAAGTGACTATGGACATTATTCGATGTTATTATGGTTGGAAGGGAAACCGAAACAAAATCTCTTGACCAAATGGTAATTTCTGTGGTCATAATGCTTTATGATGTCCATCTGGTTTCATAAGAAACATCACTTCCCTCATAAATCTCTAGATTTGTCTTTCAGGTATGTTACATTGGTTGATCGCCTCCAATTGTTTAACATCGAACTTATGAGTTGCATCGCAATGTCGTGTTTTCTTCCTAGTCATAGACGTTTCTTTGTTCAAGTAAATGATTCTTTAAATTGAACTGTTATGCGTTATTGATTTAAAAGAATAAGATGAAGATTACACTTAAAGTGTAGCAGATGTTCGAGTACATTTATCTGCATATGGTTCCCCCATTCCTAGTCATGTATGAAGCCTAAAAATTAAGTCGAACAGTTCGAACTACTTATAAAGATGATAAGTAGGCTAACACTAAAAAGATCAATTTACACGGAATGTTTGATCGCTCAATATCTATTTATTTCGCAAATCCAACAAATTTGTTGTCCTCGGAGAGCCCAGAATAATTTACCATTTATAGTATAGATCACAGACTGATTCTACGTTGACAATCATTAAAAACCAGGGGACATTGAATAGTTGTTTCTAACATGAAACTTGAGCAATCCTCACCTATTAATGTACCAGGAATCAAACCCAGGACCTTCAGGCCTTCTTGACTTCTAAATCCTTTACTGATCAACTGAAAATAAGGATGAATAATTGTACAAGTAATTTCCGTGGGAAAATATTTATGTAATTTTTTGTATTTGTGTTAAAATTAGCTTGTTAAAATGTCAAACAGTGGAGAAACGTCCTTAATGACGACAGAACTGTATTACTAGACAGTTGTTTTGTCGCGATTTAAGACTTCGAATGATATCACTCATTAGTAATTTTACATGATTTAGAATCTTTCGCTTTCAAATCTTACTCTGACAATGATTACATTCAATGCTTTTGTATACATCCAGTTGTTCATGTGATCTCAATGTCCATTATATGTCACGGTCCTGGTTCTGTATTGTACATAAGATACTGTCTCATTATCTTGCCTTTTTAAACTTAGAAAGTCTCTATTTCCTATAAGATTTCCTGGAAATATATTTCTGAGCTTCCATTGTTTTCGAATTGATATCGTTGTATAACGTGAAGTCTATCTTCAAATGAGTGGTCATCTGGTATCTGGCTATAGACTTCAAAGTAAGTTTTTACTGTAGAGGTTCGATTCTATCAGGTATGAAACATCTAATGATTATAGCATAAGTTCTCAGACTGACTGAGTTTGGAGACTTGACCCTTTGGTTTCCAAGTTAGTGGTTGTAAGAGATGAATATTTTGAGTTAGATCCTTGACATGGTCACTGTTTTTTACTAATGAACAATCACAATCTAAGATTAAACAACTTTGCAATGTTGTATAGTTCCAATGGTTCTTCAGATTATGTCGATTCATGACGAAAACAATCATTTTCGAACCACGAGAAGCGTACTATGATTTTGAGATGGTGACGAAGATTTTCAGCTCAGGTGAATGATTTTGATAGTTTTTTTCTCTGAGCTGGATGATTTGGTCGTGGAGCTTTCATCGTTCTTCTGAAGGACATCATCACCACAAACGTCACGTAGAACAATATATTTGATTTGAATAGAAAAGATAAAATACATAAAAGTGACCACACCTGGAAGGCTAAGCCATGCCATACAATTGGGTTGTATGAAAGTTCCAGCGTTCTTTATTGTTAACCTCTTCGATAGTTCGAATACTTCACTTCTACCTGAAGTTTGTGCTGATAATGTCGTTCAGAAGAACGATGAAAGCCCCACGACCAAACCATCCAGGTCAGAGAACAAAACTCCATCAAAACGAAAATGATCATCAATTTAAATTGTTCTCCACTTCAAATAATTCTATTTCCAATTACCTTTCATTTATCTAATATGTTTGCAATGCTCCGTTATTAATACAGATCACTATAATTGATTAGTTTCTATAAGTATATAAACGCTTTAGTGTACATTCTGATATCCATTGTTGGTACAGTTAACGTTATGGTTCAAGCAGGACGTAACGCTGCTGCCTGCCTTTAGCCACAATTCCAATATACTAAAAATTTATGACCAAAAACATGACATTAGGATGGAATAGAGTCCTGAATATCAACTACAAAACATAACCAATACTGGATATCATACTCATTGAATGAGTTAATTACTAACTTAGGCTTAGTCACTTAATGAAGCGACATATACTACATTCAGTTTTCGTTGTATACACTAGCATTAACTAGTTGACATATTCAAATGACGAGTGACAAATAGGATAAAACATAATCAGTTGTGAATTCCATTACTTGACACGATTCACAAATTCACCATTGAAGAAGCTTGATTAAAATGTGCATACATGGTTCATCTGATAATACTGACTTTCGAAATTTCTAAAATTTATCACTTCAAGTATTAATGAATGTTTCATTTGAAATTTACGGTGACATGGATATAGTTATTCACATAAAAATTTGATATCGCTTCGAAATGGTTATGCCCCTATCTAAGATGGTGGTTGGCGAGTGCCAAGTAGAACGAAACCCGGGTCCAGGGTTTCCTATCAACCAATTTTGAGGAAACTGGTTCTCCCTAACGGATTCGATCTTGTATCACCTAGCTTCATAGTCAGTGACGTTACCGCTGATCTATCTGGGCCAAAACTAACATCTTATAGGATTGAGATGTATTTACAATTGATTGATCACTGTGTGGTGATCAATGTTATATGTAACAGGTGCTTCTTAATGCAGATCGAATCCTATTGATCAAGTTACACTAGTCTAGATGACTTGACATTACATGCAATCACTATGTTGAGATAAGATGCTGATTGGAGATCATCGATAAGAAATCCTAGATAGGATTCGATCTTCACAAAGAAAGATCTGATACACATACTATTGATTACTACCCAGTGATCAATCAATTTTAAATTCATCTATGTAGTTTTAAATTATCATTCACAAAAGGGGAATGTAGGAAAATTAAAAATAAACTCATTCATAAGTTTATAAGTAGTATATACCACTTATCCATCATTTTGTTTGTTTTCAATTTTTTAATGATGATAACCAATGAAGATTAGTTCAATTAAAGGACATATATAATTAACATTAAGATTATGCGTATATATATAGACTATTGTTTAATATTTCCTGTATGAGTTGAAATGAATTCATAATAATTAGTAGTATATACATTTTATTATTCAATTTTGATTAATGAAGTGTATTTATGAAGAGGTAACACCTAGTTGTGTTTATTTGTTACTTCAAATTTTGAATGACATTAGTTAAGTGTAATGAACATTGCTATCAAGTTAATAATGATTTGGTTATGTATGAAAAGGATTTCTGTTATTTATTTAAATACATAAAGATTGGTACAAAAAGGCACCAAATAATTGTGAACCACGTGAATTATTCGATTTGTATGTGGACTGTGGTACTGGTCGAGTATCTAAACCGAAACAGGTAGTTCTCTTAAAAGGGCCATATCCGGAGCCTTCGACCTAATGGTCCGATCCACAAGACAGTGGAGCAACGTCAGGAGATACAGTCCCATGGTAACCAATAATTGGTTCATATATCATTTGTTCCTTCAGTATCCTGGAGCTCATGTGCAGCGTTGGCTTGTAATGAGAGTTTTCCAATTGCCCTAGGTGAACTCTCCATATCCACCAACTTGGTTAAAGCGTAGGATATTCGCTTTTCGTCCTCACAATTTCATAAACAAAACCCCGTGGTGCGAGAAGCCAGTGAGTAGGACTTCCCAGCCAGTGGTTGTATGTACGTGGCCATGTGAGAGCATTTATAGAAAGAGCGCTGAATCCCCCCACTCTCGGCTGTACCAGGGCATTTGGGGGATTTATCTAGTTAAGTATATATAAACACTGAGGTTATCTTTCTGGAGATTTCGATGACGGAATTTATGAGTTCCTATATCTTTGTTAAAGGGAGGGAGTTGGTTTAAATTACGTGACCTTGAATTTTTAGTACCTCGACTTTTTAATGTCCAGTTTTTTTTCATTATCTTGCATTTTGACGTTCAAATAGTGAGTGAACTCTTCATATAAGAATACGTTTTTTCACTGAAGATTCGTGTTATAATTCACTCTTATTACAAAAAAATCTATTCCTATTGCTTAATATTCTTGGACACTAATTCATTCGACAAGTTCCCAAATCCAAACATAGTTGAACAGGAAAGAAATTTTATTCTAAATAACAAGGGGTAGACGGAAGTACGAAGTACAATAAGAAGAACGTTAGTATATTCATAGTTTTCTTACATATGAATATTCTTGAGTGTACTTTAAGTATCGACTAACGCTAATGATTGGATACGTATTAGCCAATCATCATGCACCAATACAATCATGCATGGAGCATAATTTAATCCAATCTATATCCAGTTAACAATTCAATTTCGAACTCTGACTTTTGTTTTTCTTGTGCTGTAAGTTGGGGCCACCAAATGCCCTAGTACGGCCGAGAGTGGGGACAGTCACCTCTCTCTCTCAAAATGCTCTCACATGACCACGCGTATACAAACACTGCATGGACAATCCTACTCACTGACTTCTTGCCACGGTGTGTTGTATACAAAATTGAGAGGACAAAAAGTGAATATCCTAATCTTTAACTGGGTTGGTGTATATGGAAAGTCCACCTGTGGCAATTGGATCCTGAGGGAACAAATGACGTATAAACCAATTATTGGTCACCAGTTGCTATGGGACTGCATCTCCTTGCGATGATCCACTGCCTTGTGGATCATATTTTTAGATTGAACGCTCCAGATGTAACCCCTAAGAGAACCATCTGTTTCGGTTTGCGCACTCGGACAGTATCCCAACCCTCACACAAATCGAATGATTTATGTGGCACATATCTATTCGGTGCCTCCTTGTACCAATATCTATGTGTTCAAATAAATAATATAAGTTGGAATGTGCTACGGTGTCATCTTCATAGAGAATTATCTTTAAATAGTCAGTATGAATCGATTAACTAAATAATATTGAATATTGAAAATAGATAGTTATCCCTATATTTACTTGTTTATTATTATAAACAACTGAAGATTAAACGAAATAAATTCACATTCGATACTTCAATGTTCAAGGTCATTTCTGTTTACTATGTGTATATCTATATGCTTTTTTTAAAAGTTTTTTTTCTGCTTTTTGTGTATTTATGAAAGAAAATGTCCCTTCTTTCACTAAAAGTCGTATTACCGTAAAAAAAGTAAAGAGACATTACCGAAGATCCATTAATATAGATATATATTTATATATATAAAGAGAGAGGGAGAGAGTGTGTGTGTGTGTCTTTTTATGGACAAAGAAGCAACACTACCGAATGCTTTGGTACAGCCGAGAATGGGGAGAGACAATACTCCCGATCGAAATGCTCTCACATGGCTATACGTATACAACCACTGACTGGGAAGTCCTACTCCCTGCCTTCTTGTGATGGGAATGTTGTTTATGAAATTGATAGAACGAAATGTGAATATTCAGCACTTTAATCGGGTTGGTAGATATGGAGGATTCACCTAGGGAAGTTGAAAAACTCTCATTCCAAACCAATAGTGCACATAGTCTCCAGTATCCTGAAGGTACAAATGGCGTCTGAACCTATTGTTCACTGGCTACCATAGGACTGTATCTCCTGACGTTGCTCCACTGCCTTGTGGATTAGACCTTGAAGTCGAAGGCTGTGGGTGTGTCCGCCTAAGAAAACCACCTGTTTCGCTTTGAGCACTCAAAGCCCAAACACAATTCAAGTGACTTGTGTAGGACATATGTATTCGGTGCCCCTTTGTACCAATATTTACATGTTTAAATAAATAAATAACAGAAAAAGAACTATCACGAACACAGACGTTTAATGATAACTTCCATAAACTTTTCTATCGACTTATACAATTATTTAATAGTTGAATTCATGAGTTAATTGAAGCTAGATAACCATAGAAACCCCGAGGGCACTGGACGGCTCTTTTATCCTAGTATGGAACTGTTCAGCAGTGTGCATCCACGATTCCTCCTTGTGAGGTTCGAACCCAGAACCTAACGCAGTCGAACGCTTAACCTCTATAACACTGGTCCGGCATCCAACGTTGTTAATGTTTAACTTCTACCAATACACGAGATTGCACCACCGTCCAACATTGTCTCACAGCATACCCGAATGAACTCAACTGGTCACTGCCTGTTATTAGAACTCCAGGAAATACCTCTTGAATCCATTCACTAGTGAGCATATGATGTCTATTAATGTCTAATAATAATAAGAAGAAAATAAGTAAAAGAAAATCTGACATTCTTTTAAACTTCATTTATTAATTTCAATAATTGATATCATGAATCAATGAAAGCTAAACCATCATGGAAAACCTGGAAGCATTCAACTATCGTTTCGTCCTACTGTAAAACTCTTCAGTTGTCTTTAATTTTCTATTTATTAAATGTGCTTTATTGTAAGAAAATAAAATAAAATTAAGCAAAGGTCGATAGTGGCTAACAGTGGACGCGCGTTTCACTTTATTTGATACTCGTCAGCTGGATACGAGTAAAACAACCCCAAGTAAATTTAAATAAATTCACCCTACAAAAAAAAAACAAATTTCACCAGTTATATCATGAGTCAGTTGAAGCTAGATCACCATTGAAAACCTGGAAGCACTAGACGGCCATCTCGTCCTAATATGGAACTCCTCATGAGTGCTCATTCACGATCCCGCCCCCTGTGAGATTTGAACCCAGGACCTACCGGTCTCGAGCGCGACCGCTTAACCATTAGACCACTGAGCCAGTTGTGACATATCAGCTCACTGAAGACAATGGTGTACGGTGGTGCACTTTTGTGGATTCATTGAAGTTATACATTAACACAACTTGGTGCTGGCTCAGCGGTCTAATGGTTAAGCGTTGGCGCACGAGATCGATATATCCTAAGTTCGTATCCCTCGAGCAAGATCATGGATGCACACCTCTTTGAAGTCTCATACAAATATGAAACAATCGTTCAGTGCTTCCAGATTTTCCTATGGTGATTTAGCTTCAATTGACTCATGATTTCAACGAGTGAAATTTCTAAAATCTCCACAATACCCCTTCTGAATAAAAGAAATTCCATAAAAATCATTTCAACCAATCAAATTCGTTTATCTATTTTTTTACTACCTATGTCTAATGATTCCTGTCATTTGATTGGTTCATTTATTTAATGAATAAAGTATAAATACCCATGAAGTAAAACGTGTCATCATCATAATTAGATTAGAAGTATAAAAGTGTAATTTGTCATTTTGACAATTAAAAAGTACCCGGCGGGGGGAAGGGAAGGGAACGGGTGAAGTAAATTGTATCCAAGGCACACACACACACAAAAAAAAAATAAAATGGAATGGTTACTATGCTTAAAATATATAATTTTTTATAAAATAATTATATTAAATATATTACAATTTATAAATAATTATTATTGGAATGAAAAAACTATAAAACATCAACGTCAATGTATATTTCCATCAGTATATAAACGTAAAGCAATTTATGAATGTCAACATATTGATATAAATGGACCAAATGATGAACAATTCAATGTAATAACAAATAATCAATTATATTCATCTAAATGGTGGTGTCCATTAACTGATAATTATGATCATTATCCAGAATGGCAATTATGCCCAGAGACAACAACAACTTATGGTGGTAATCAACCAGGTAAACAATGTTATTTTCCATTTATTTATCATAAACGTTTATATACAACATGTATTAGAAATGATGGTGATTTAATCTATCAACATAAAAATGATAGAATACCAATAGATAATGGTAAAAGTGGTTATTGGTGGTGTTCAACCACATCAAATTTTGATTATGATGGTTTATGGACAAAATGTCGTCCACAATTATCATATCAATTACCATGTTATTTTAAAAAATTATCAAATCATTATTATCATTATAATATAGGAGGTTTTATACAATCTAGTGATTATGAATGTCAACCATATTTAGGACATTGGATATGTTATACAGAATTAAAACAATTACGTGAATGTCCTAAATCAATACAATTATTACATAATATTAAAACAGAAGGTGGAAATGATCCTGGTTTTCCATGTTATTTCCCATTTCAAGCTACTTTATCATTACATCCTCATCCTCATCATCATCATCATGATATAAGTAGACCACAAAATTTCACACATTGTTTACCTGGTATAATCAATAATCAATTAGATGATCAATTATCAATTTATCCAACATGGATTGGTTATTGGTGTTCAACTACAGAAAATTTTGATCGTGATCAATTATGGACACGTTGTCATTTTAATATAAAACAACAAAATATCATTACATCCTATAAATTATCAGAAATTTGGTCACAATTAAATTGGTTAACATTATTAACTTATAAGGAAAGATCAATGATTTCTATAAAAAATTTATCAAATACAATAAATTTTCAACAATCATTAAATTCTATAGAATTATTACGTGGTACATGGGAATTATTTACTAAAAATAATCATGATCTAGATCATATATATCATGATCCTAATCCTAATTCTAATCATAATAATCAATATAATGATCATTATTATATTGAATTAACATGGTGGTTATGGTTAGCACCATTTTGGTGGATCACATATAAAACTAATCAATCATTCAATACAACGAATCATTTAGTTCATACACAAACGATGAATATACATAGTAACCAATTAACTATGCATAGTAACAATAACAATAATAATAATAATGATAATGATAATCCATTAATAAGTGGATTAAACTTACCTTCCTGGTTAAATGAATGGAGTGAATCAGGATGGTATTATTATAATATAAATATGAAAACTAAATGGAATCATTTATTATTATATTTATATTATAAATGGTTAAAATCATGGTTATTAATATTTTT